GATTTTTAATGAGGCAGGATTTTTCTAGTCTGTGCTTTGATACGTAACTTTGCTCCTGACCAGGATCCACTTCAAACGACAGAGACGACATTTCTGTGGCACTAATCTAATTCTTCATCATAATTGCATTTGGCAGAGCTGGGTCTGAACAGTGCCACCCCATGGCATCATTCAGAGGGATATACAGGAATTCTGGGCCTCTGACTTACATACATCCACTTTCTTCCCTATGCTCTGTTCTACATGGAAGTTTGACCAAGCAAAATGGGATAATCACAACTCTGTCTGGGATAGCCTGGAAAAACAGGCTGGCCAACATGGCAGCATCTTTCGAGTGATTTCAAATGTTTCTGTAATTTTCCCACATGCACTGCTGCAATGGTTTCATGCACAGTGTTTGTGCACACACAGTGCTTTATGGGTCGATCCAACATGCAGCACAGGCTCTCAGCCCTGTGAAATGTATCCAGTGTTTTGACCATGTCAAGCTCTTTGGACACGTGCTCCATGGAACCTCCTGCACATGGACAGCAGAACCCTGTGCTGTGCTACCACAGGATCTCACTGCTCCAATGCCTGTCATGGAGACTTGCAAATCTTCATGGTCAAACCTCATAACCCCTGCATCATCTCAGCCTTGTCATTGTTAGACAATGTACCGTTTTAATTTTTCCATATATAATATATTTGATATGAGTATTCTCCCTGCAAACTTTGGCTGCTCTTCCTTCTTTAATAACTCTCCCATGCTACTGGTTTTATTTCCTTCTGCTAATATTTCAGTCTTGTTTCCAGTTCTGATCTCCTTCTCCTTTTGATACTACTTTATTTACGTGATCCCAGATTACTGGTACCCGTACAAGGCACTGCACAAACCCTGAGAGACACCCAGGGTGAAAAGAGCCCACATTCCTGTAGTAGTTACACTCTCTATCCCAGAGTGACTGAACCAGGAGAACAGAGCCCATGATAGAGACACAGAAAGCCAACAGAGGAGTTTTATGAACTTACACTGTTTAAAGTAGCTCCCCACAAAATAAATATCTATTTCTCTGCAGATTTAGCTGTGGAAGCAGAGGATCTCCTTGGAGACAGACAAATCAATGCCTGCTCCAGAGCTGGCACTCTGGAAAGATGACAGAAGCAGCTCAGTTGAAGAAAAAAAAGCTCCAGGAATGGAGATAACTCACCACAAAAGAGATTTGTGAATAGAATCCTAAAAGATACCTGATCTGGACTTTTTCCAGGAGCTGTGTAGACAGCAAACCAGGGCTTGAGAACAAGGTCAGTGTACTGAATGAGAACATGTTAGTTTTTCAGCTAGAAAAGTTTACAGAAGCAGCTCAGCAACAGAAATACAACACCTATCTTGTAGAGGTGAAATAACATTTTATTTACAGTTTCTTGATGCTCTTAGCTTCTTTCTCATTAAAGGTGCCTGGTATGATTCTAGCACTGTAATGAATTTCACTTCTAGCTACAAGTACTTATTTCTTCCAGCTGTAAAAAGCAGAGTACAATTTCATAAAGACTATTTATAGAAGTAAAATTTATAATTAATAGCATTCCTATAAAATGGAACGAATCAACATTGAATTCCAGATAATCAGTATGCCAAAGGGAGACTGAGACCTCTGTTCTGTATGGTAACATTGACAGTTCCAGCTGTGGCAGGCATCAGCCTAAAAGAAAGTCCCCCAGGGCTGTGACAATCAAAATCAATTCAGGAGTCAGGCTAGAGGGAAAAGAAAAGTTTCAATATTCAAACATCATTTAGACTCAATGGTATTGGAAGGGTATGAACACAAGGAGGGGAATGCTTCAAGGAAGTATATGAAGCAAAAGGGAAAATTAATGAGAAGAAAGTAATACAAAGAAAATAAAAATAGAAAAATAGGACAAGATTGAGGGCAGATAGAAGCAGTTGTTCAGAGGTGTAAAATAATTTTGGCAAGTAGAATGTGTGCTGAAAGGCACAGTGCTCTTGGAGATAGCAACTGTTGCACTTGTTTCTAGAAAAATATGAACTATTAGTCCTCAGACCCTGCATTTAAGAACTGAACAGCTGCACACACTTTGGAAATGCAGTGTGAATTATATCTCACTGTCAATTAAAAAGTAGCATAAAAGAGCTGTATTTTAAAATGTGTTTGTGTTACAAAAATGACATGTCCAGTTGTTTTCACTGAAAATGTGGTCAGGCACTGGAAGGGGTAACCCAGGACAGTGGTGGAATTACCATGCCTTGAAGTGCTCAAGAAACAGCTAAATGTGGCACATCAACCCAGAACAGAGCAGAACCACCCAGCCTTGTCCAGGCTGGGCATGGATTTACTGCCTGGGGGAAGATCAAACCTACAGTGAGTCCCCAGCAGTTTGTGACTCTGTAATGTCCTGATCCCTTTGCCTTCTCCAGATTTTGTTCCAGCCTGTGCTCTGGCTCACTGCAAATGCACCAGGCCATGCCTGAGACTTTTTGGTTGTTACTGGTTGCTTTTCTTCTTCCCTTTTTTTCCCTTTCTCCCCTGCTAATCCAGTCACCTCCCCTGAAGTGGCCGAGGTTGTTCTTCCTGCCAAGGGAACGAGGGCACACAGAGCCTTCTGTCCACAGAGCACTCGCCTTGGCCAGGCACAAATGGGAGCTTTTCTTTCCCCCTGTTCAGAAGGCACCAATAATGAGGTGTTTGGCCATGGAAACCGGTAAGAGAAATGCACAATTTAAAGGCAGATTTACAATATAAAGTTGAAATGTTGGGAGGAAGGTGAGGGGAGAAACAAAGGAATAGACAGGGACTGGTTTGGGGG